TATCCTGAGTTCTGTGAGTCATTGTATGTAAAAAATTATGGAAACTGAGGGGGCTCATGGGAACTCCCAAATTTGTAGATGGCTGGGCAGAAATGTGGGTAGCCTGGGCACCCCATTTGCAGCTGGCATCTGAAATGAGGGCAGTTCTGAGGGATGAACCCTTAAACCTGTAGAGTCTGATATATCAGAATTGAATTGACAGAAGTGGTGGCAGAAAATAAAAAAGACATCACAATTGGTGTCAGAAGAAAGGCACCCCTTATTTGGTATCAGGGGAAAAGAAAACTTCAGAGGAAACTTTTGGGGTAATGGAAATATTCTATATTTTCACTATGATAGCAGTTACATGGTATATACTATACATTGTTCAAAATCATAACACTGTACTATAAAGTTGATTTTTTTAAACGTGGGGTCGAGGGGTTTGAGGAAACAGGACATCCAAATCCAGGCTGAGGTGCTCTGAGAGTAATCCATCCAAACTAGAGCAGGAGGACAGGGGCTCTCGAGAGACCACAACTAGAGGACAAAATGGATAGATTGTCTAATGTGTTTCAACATTTTTGGAGACACAATTGAAGGAGACTTTGGGGATTCATTAGTCCTAAGTACACTGAAAATTCCAGTTGTTCCTGGACATGAGGGGCCAGTATGTAAAGGAGAACTGGCAGGCATAGTAAGTCATATAAAATTGTGGGTGAAAGTGCTTGAAGGGAGGGAGGAGGATGGAGCAGATGTCAGGTGGCTGTGAAAGACAGGAAGAGCAAACTGCATTGCAATCCCCAGCTCAGGATGGCATAAAGCGAAGCAGGACTCCTTTTCCTTTCCTTGGGTTCTTTGACATTCCACTTTCCTTGAGTTAGTTCCAATGTATTTCTGCTTCTTATAACCAAAAAGAGCTCCAGATTTAAAAGCTCTTAAAGATAAAATTGTAGTAGATATGCTAATATCCTAATAAAGATTTCTTACAAACCAATATGAAAAAGAAAAAATTCTGTAATTGAAAAATGGACAAATGATGCAAATATTCAAATCACAAAGGAAGAAATATATATGGTTAATAAATATGAAGAATGTTTAACTTCACGGTGGTAAAAGAAACTTTAGTTAACATAATTGCATACCCTTTTTTTTCTCATCAATTTGATAATGCCAGATTAGTGTGAGTACAGAGAAACGACCATTATACCTGCCCAACCAGTAAAAAAGGACCCGATGGAAATGTGGGTGCCCCCTCTTCCTGTGTGTCCACTTCCTCCTTTAAGCAAGTGAAGGTGGGAATGAACAAGGATGAGGGCAGCTTTGAAGGAAGGGTGGAGAGACAAGTTAAGCTACGAAGGACAAATTGATCAACAATTTTAACAGTCATTTTATACATACTGTCTTTTTTGAAAAACTTAGCACAAAAGCTGAAATTTACCTGATTTTTTAATTTTAAAAATAACATATGCATGTTATAAAGCTGCCTTTCCTTTTCCAGAGTCCCAGGCCCCCACTCCAGCATCAACCACTCTTAGCAGTTTCTTGTGTATCTTTCCAGTAAGCTTGTTTGTCCATACTTATATTTATGAGAATACATCTCCCTTTTCAACATGAAAGGAAGCATACTTTACTCAGTGCTTTTTCACATAACACTAAATCTTGGCGATCATTCCATATTAGTACACATACTCGTATGTGCTCACCTCAGGCTTTCCAACAGTGCAGAACCATTACACAGATAGCCTATATTTTATCTAACCAGTTCTCTATGGTGGTAGGTTAGGTTATATTTAGGGTTTTGGTACTACAAGCAATGCTGTAAGGCACATTACTGTGTATATTTTAATATACAAGTGTAGTATATATAGTGGATATATTCTATTGGTCATTGATGGATAATATAGATATATTCCCAGGGTGGAATTGCTGGGTCAAAGGATATGTGCATTCTAAAATGGATATAAATAATTGATTCTGAAAACCATCTTACAGATTACATCATAAAATCAGAATACACTTAACTCAATCTCCCATACCTTCTCCATCTAAGAACTGTAAAATGATAATTTCTTTTAATGAAATACTCTAATACCTGAAATTACTGTTTAGATTATCAGGAAAAGATCTCATTCTTCACGGTTTTGTCCTCAGCTTCCTCCTCTGAAGAACATTATACTTTAGCCCAAACATCCCTGTTTCCAGTCCTGCTCTGTCTTGGGCCCACACCCACGATCAGCCAAGCTTGGATTTCCTTTCTTTTGGGAGTCTACACTTCACTTCTAGTCACCCAGGTTCAAATCCTCAGTGTTGGCTTTAATTCATCTTTTTCATTAGCTTCCCATTCTATGGGAACCATTTACCATTCTTCAGCATCAACATTTAGTGGTTTTGTTTCTATATACCCTGTCATTTGCTAATCCTGTCCTTTTTATCAACTACAAGAGGTGGCTTCCTAACTGGCCTCTAGAGTCTCTCACACTTCCCTGGAATGGTATTAAAATAATACTTCCCTAAACATCTAAATCATGACCCAAACCTAATTCTAAAATATTTCCCTACAAACTCCCTGGCTATGCTTTCAAGGCCTAGTCCCAACCCAGCTCTGGAGCTGACGTCCCATCACTTACTTTCCTAACACACTTTTCCACCCAAAACACTCTTGTACACAGCATCCCCAAACACATGATGGCTGCTTTCCCGCCTTTTTAAATTTCATTCACTCATCTAAAGATGGTTCCCTCCAACTCTCCACCTATAGAAATCCAGCATATGCTACCAGGTCCAGCTCAAGTCTTACCTCTTTTCCTGTCCATTCTAGATAGAAGCAGTTCCTCCCCTCAGAAAACCGTTACATTCTCTTCACTACCATCATCTTTATTTATTTATTTATTTATTTAACTTTTTTTTTTAAAGATGACCGGTAAGGGGATCTTAACCCTTGACTTGGTGTTGTCAGCACCACGCTCAGCCAGCGAGCTAACCGGCCATCCCAATATGGGATCCGAACCCGGGGCCTTGGTGTTATCAGCACCGCACTCTCCCGAGTGAGCCACAGGCCGGCCCACTACCATCATTTTTAGCACTTACCTTTGCTGGAGTAGCTCTTTTCCCTACATACAAGGGGTCTTCAAAAAGTCCATGAGAAATGTATATTATGAAAAAAAAAAACCAACTATGCATGCATAAACTTTATGAAAAGTTTATGGAAAAAATGCCCCAAAGAACTCAGCAGTTTACAAATGGATGGATAGGTCCTTTTAAGAAGGAACGAAACGGGCCGGCCCAGTGGCTCACTCGGGAGAGTGCGGTGCTGATAACACCAAGGCCCCGGGTTCGGATCCCATATAGGGATGGCCGGTTCGCTCACTGGCTGGGCGTGGTGCTGACACCACCAAGTCAAGGGTTAAGATCCCCTTACCGGTCATCTTTAAAAAAAAAAAAAAAAAAAAAAAAGAAGGAACGAAACGATGTTGAAGATGCAGCCCTCACCAGCAGACCATCCACATCAACCTGAGGAAAAAATTAATCTTGTCCATGCCTTCATTGAAGAGGACAGACAATTAACAGCAGAAACAATAGGCAACACAGTAGACATCTCAAAAAGTCAAGTTTACACTATTCTGATTGAAAAATTACTGGAGGACTTCAAAAAATTTGCATAAAAATGCCATTAAAAGATAAAGATTAAAAATATAAACTTTATTTCTCAATATAAGCTCCATCAAGGTCAAGACGCTTTTGTAAGCAATGATACCAGCCATTTAGTCCATCCTTAAAGAACTGAGGGTCCTGGGGATTTTACTATTAACTGAAGAAAAATGGGTGTCCTTTGATAAGTGCCCTTTTTTAAGATTAGGAAACAAAAAAAGTCAGAAGGCGCCAAATCAGGACTGTAAGGTTTAGGCTCATTACTTGCAACATGTGGCATCCAGAATTTTATTCTGCTTTTAATACTCATTTCCCCAGTTACACAGGAAAGCAAAATACTCTTACACAAATTTAGGGACTGAGATTGGAAGATACTAAACTCATTCAAACCCTGACTCCTCTCTTCCCCTTCCAGGTGGCACGAGGGAATAAAGCTGGCTTCTGGGATAGGTGATACACCTGCTAATTGTAGTTTTTTCCACACCAGTACTCAAGTCTTAGGGTTTCCAAACAAATGGTGGACGGAGAACAGGATCTCTAAAGGTCTCGGAAAACCCTGGGTCACTTCCATTTTCTGAGGTTTTCAGCATATTGAAAACTGAAGGTGTGCCAAGAGCAGGTTACAAAAATGGTGGTGTATTTCAAATTTTTTGATTTCACCATCTTTTTCTCCCAATCCTGTCGTCAGTATATCTCTGTGCTCTTATGTCTAACATCAACAAATTGAAAGTTGAAATAACCTGAGATTGTATTATTCTGGACTTTTTATGATAGGCAACTAGGAGGCAGCAGGCTCATGGGCCCACAGCGATGACTCTGCAGGAACTGTGGCGCCTGCTTATAAAGAGCTGTGCAGGCCGCACGAGGCTGCCCGTACCGGGTTCCACCTGCGCCGCATCGAAGTCCGCACTCGCTGCCTGGGCAAATGGCCCTACCCGATGGTCGACCAAACCTCCCACCCCCTCTGCCGGCTGCCATTCGGTCCCTCAGCAAAGGGTACAGATGCTCATCCAGGTCCGCACTACAGGAACGAGACGGGTACGGACCACAGAGGTCGGGTTGAATCGCCGGGCGACCTCTCACTAAACAACCAGGACAAACACGGACGGAAGGACCCGCCAAGTCCGCCCCGCCCCAGTACACGCGCGTCGGGAGCTCCAGATCCACTGCAGCCCGCCCCCTTACGTGCCGTCCAATCAAAAGCCACTTCCTGCCTCACTCTCGGCCAGTCCTCACACTCCACGAAGAATAGCCCTAGGGGGCGTATGGGAAGGTGCACAGAGCGATGGCCGCGCTGACCAACCGAATCTCGGGGCTTGCGTGGGGGGGCGGGACTTGGCGCTGGTCCGGGCTATTCAGGAACGAGGGGCGGACGCAGGGCCGGGCTTCGTGTGGTGAGGCTTGCTCGCGAGGCAGCAGTAGCCGAGGCCTTTAGGTTTTGTGGCACGTGACGGTCGGCCCGCGTCCGCCGCTGTCTCCTCTGCATCGCTGGGCAAGGTGTGCGGGAGGAAGGAGACGCGGGCACCGCCGGCGGTCCCCGGGAGGCTCGAGGTGAGACTGGAAGCCCGCGCTTCCTCGGTCCTGTGAGGACCCCGGGGGGCCTGGGAGTGCGCCGCCACGGTTGAGGGGTCGGGCGTGGCCCGAGGCCGAGGGGTCGGCCGGCTTTCGAGGGCCCAGGCGTCGGTGGACGCGCCGGCCGTGAGGAGCGAGGCCCGAACCTGGGCCTCTTCGGTTGGGGAGCCAGGCCCAGGCCGCGCCGCCGGGCTCAGGAGGCGTGGCAGGTGCCCTAGAGCCTCCCTTGACCTCCGGGAAAGCTAACATAACTATGGTTTTGCTTCTAGGGCTTTCTTAGGTAGGCCTCTCGCTGGCCGCCTAGGCGGGCAGCTGCTAGGTGTGGGCTGGAATAACCGGGTAAAGGTCTGGAATCGGATTCGGCCTAGTGGTAGAGAATATTTAGGGTTAGCGTTACATGTTCAGTGTTTTGAAATAAAACCCTAGAGCGAATACTGGACCCTAGCACCCTGAGGAGTGGGGACAACGCACAGTGGTTGAAAAACTTTAGTCTTAATAGTTACAGCACCGATTCGGGGGAGGGGAGTAATCCAGTCGGAGATTCACAGGACGCTAAAAGCAGGAAAGCACTCGAAAGCTCTTCTAGTGTACCTCGTTTTATAGTGAAGGAAACAGGCCTAGAGGTATGAAATGACTGGCGCAAGGTCATACGATTAGTTTAATGGTCACGTCGGGGTCATAGTTGAGGGCTAGGCGGTTTTGGTGTAGTGGTTAAAGTTTGGTTCAAGTCCTTCATCGGCCATTTGTTGCTGTGTGTACTTGGGCAGTTTTCTTACCCTTTGTGCCCCATTTCTTGCCAAGTAATGGATATAATAATTCGCGATGGACTTGTGAAGATTAAATTACATGTGTATGAAATGGGCCATGGAAGTCTGATACATAGTGACTGCTTGATCTTCCAGTAAATTATGATAATCTTAATGCCATTACTACACTACACTGACATCCTAGTCTTTGAATTGGTTAACTCCTGTTTCCCGGAACCCAAAATCACGTTTACGGCAGTGGGAGGAAGAAACTGAACTTTGTGGATTAACTGCTGGGCATGACACAAGTGATTGCTGGTTGAGGGAAGTTAAACTGAGCTGAACATTAAAAGCTTGACAGGACAAAGGTAAACCACAGTTAAGTCTCTTTACCTTTAATTAAGCAAAATCTTCCCATTTCCTCAATTTTTTTTTAATAAGTAGAGAGTTTTTTTTGAAGAATTGTGTTGATGTTTAAAATCATTTTGTGTCTCAAGATTTTTCCAGCAGTGTTTGAGGGTCATGAATGGATCAACTGCCACGTTGAACATTTGCTGTAATTATGCTCAGAGCAGAGGTAAAGAACTGTGTGGGAGTTCTCCTTTGCACGAGCCAGGGTGTGCAAGCCAGGTAACTGGATCATGGGAAGGCTGGAGTGAACTGTGTATTGCAGTGAATGTCACACAACAAAAATTTTCTAACTTATCTGAAAATGGGTGTCAGCATGCCCCTCACCCCCTTATTATCTTAACTCTACAGTTCAATTAGCATGTTATCTTCTGAGGGCCACAAGGGTTAAATGACAGCAAGTCCTTGCAGCAGTGTTGGCAATCACACTATTGCATCCTTTTCCTTACAGAGTTCACTTTGCCCTGCAGGATAGCTTAAGGGGATGAAGCGGCAGTTGGTAAGCATAAATGCAGGCTCATGAGACTTGAATTCTGGGCCCAACATGGTAACTAACTTATATACCACTTTGGTTTCTTCATCTTTAAAATGGGCATGAGCAGTCTCCTGGATCCCTCACCTTGAGGGGTCAATTGAGTGGGGCACACACAATGTTGAACATAAATCTACTTTGAAAAGTGTAATGGCTTGTACAAATAGAGTTGGTAGCTCATAATAACTCCTAAGAAATAATAAAAGTGCCTAAACATAGTTGTAAGCTATATTACTTACTGTAAAACTTATCAGGAAAGTACTGGTTGAATGCATTGTTACTGTAACAGATGTACTTTCATTTATTTCACTTTATTTTAGTGACTGCCTGGTATGAGGATCCAAACCCTTGACCTTGGTGTTGTAACACCACTCCCTAAACAACTGAGCTAATTGGCCAGCCCCAGATGTACTTTTCTTTATTTTTTATTTTTTTATTTTTTAAAAGATGACTGGTAAGGGGATCTTAACCCTTGACTTGGTGTTGTCAGCACCACACTCTCCCAAGTGAGCTAACCTGCCATCCCTATATAGGGATCCGAACCTATGGCCTTGGTGTTATCAGCACCACACTCTCCCAAGTGAGCAATGGGCCAGCCTTCAGATGTACTTTTAAATTAAGCTTAACTGTAAGTTGTAGAAAGTATTAGATCTCTGGTTTTTTTTGTGAATTTAGAGAATCTTCGGCATATGTTTTGAGTATTCATGTCTTATTACTTAATAGGAAAAAAGAAAGTGCTATGGAAAAATCAATTCTAATATTCCTGTCAATGAAAAAACAAAATCCAAAAATGTAAATAAGACAGTGTAGAGCTATTTAGAAATGGACGAGCATTTACAGTAAAGACCACTTTGAGTTATGTATTTTTTTCTATTTTAAATATTTTTATTTTTTGACTGAATCAAAAGCTACAGATAGTAAAATGTGTGACTGGAATCAAATTTCTTTTAACTGGTTCCTTTCCACTCTAAGACAGCATTTGCCTTAAAACTCAGTTTTGAGGGCTGGCCTGTGGCTCACTCGGGAGGGTGCGGTGCTGATAACACCAAGGCCACGGGTTCGGATCCTATATAGGGATGGCCGGTTAGCTCACTTGGGAGAGTGTGTTGCTGACAACACCAAGCCAAGGGTTAAGATCCCCTTACCAGTCATCTTTAAAAAAAAAAAAGAAAGAAAGAAAAACTCAGTTTTGGAACCATTAAAATTTAACAAAAGGTGTTACTGAGCAATTAGTAAAAATAGTAATAGTAAAAATCACTGCTGATGTTGAACACATGCTGTAAACCAGGCACTGTTATAAGTTCTTTATGGGCGTTTTATTTATACAACAATTCTAAGAGGTAAATGTAGTTATTTTAGAGATGAAGAAACTGAGGCCCAGAGGTTAGTAATTCACCTAAGATGACAAGTTATTAAGTAGCTTACCAGGCAGGGATTGTGACTTGAGTTCCTATCATAAACATTACTCTATGTTTCCAGCTGTAATCTTGGATAGATTATATAACTTCTTTTAGTTTCCTCACATATAATATGGGGATGATAGAACCTACTGATGTTCTTGTGGGGATTCTTAGACTGCCTAAGGTGTCTGAACCCACAAAAATTAAAACTTTATTTTATTTTATTTTTTAAAAGATGACTGGTAAGGGGATCTTAACCCTTGACTTGGTATTGTTAGCACCATGCTCTCCCAAGTGAGCTAACCGGCCATCCCTATATAGGGATCCAAACTCATGGCCTTGGAGTTATCCGTACCACACTCACCCAAGTGAGCCACGGGCCGGCCCAAGAATTAAAACTTTAAAAGGGAATGTTACATGAATGGATAGCTTACTGGAGAGACTGCCTCATTTATGTTGTTTTTTTTTAAAAAACCAGGAACATTAGACTAGGTCATTTCTTCTTTTCCTCTTTCTAATTTCTCATGGATTAAAGGATTTAGAGTTGAAATTTCTTAACTCCTTTTAAGAAACAAAGGCTCACAAAGAAAAGCCCAGAACCAAGTGGCTTCACTGGTGAATTCTGCCAAATACTCAGGGAAGAATTAAAACTCAGGGAAGAACTAACACTAATCCTTTACAAACTCTTGACAAAATAGGGATGGGGTGCTTCCCAATTCATTCTGTGAGGCTAATATTACCCTGATACTAAAACAAGACAAAGGCTTTACAAGGGAAGAAAACCATAGACCAATACCTTTTCTGAAAATAGATGCAAAAATCTTTAATAAAATGCTAGCAAACCGAATCCAGCAACATATAAAAAGTATTATGTACCATGGCCAACTGGGATTTATCCCAGGGATGCAAGTTGGTTCAAAAGGACAGAAACCCCATGACCATCTCAATAGATGCAGAAAAAATATGCATCTACTCATGATAAACACTCAGCAAACTAGGAATAGAAAGGAACTTCCTTAACCTGAATGAGACAAAGAAATAATCTCCTTTCTTGAAAAGATAAAATATAAAAATGTAAATGAACTTGAAAATATTTTGAGCTCCATTTGTTTTAAAGATCTTTTTTCTGAATGGACCCTTATTGAGGATAAAGTTTCTGCCTTTGAGAAGTGATAAATTTAATGTGTTTTTAGTGTTTGCCCATTCCTAAAGTTGATCTAAATAGTTGTCTGGATTTGCTGAAATTTGATGCAGAGTATGTTTGCTTCTATTAAAAAATAGAATATTTATGTTCATTCGAAGTACATAGTAAAATAATATGGACTGAATTTTTTTTTTAAGGATGTTTGCTTAAAAGAGAATTGTAATTAACCAAAAATTTTAAATTTAGGAGAATTCATAAGGAAAAGTAATTGTTTGGTGATGGAGCAGGAAAAAAATAGCAAATAAACATGGGAGTTTCCATATCCAAATACTAAAATTAAAATTGTATGTATAATATTGCAAGAATAGTTAAAGAAGAAATCACATAATATAATTGGAGGAAAGTGAGTTTTTCTTGTTACGTAAAATCATCCACCTTTTATATATAATCAGGCATATTGGACCTTTTGGTCAAGTATGAGAATTTAAAATTTGCTCAGTATGGTTGTACAAGTTGCTTTTCAAAGAACAAAACATTTGAGTATGCCTGTGAAGTACTGGGCTCTGGTAGACTTTGTATTACCTTTCCATATTTTCACAGTAAGCCTTTGAGCCAGTAGTACTACTACCCACATCTGTCTTGGAAGTTAAATAAGCTGACCAAGGCCACATGGAGCAGCAGAGAGACTGGAACCTACCTGTCTTGACAGGTTATTCCATCACATATATTATGCTGCCTCTTGTAAAAGA